TAACTTCAAAAATGAGATTTCAATTAAATTTGTTATAAAATTAAAATCGTGATTTTGTCACCTTAGATAAGATTTCAATTAAAACTGTGACTTCTAATTAGACAAACTATTAACATTAGTCAAATATTTGTAGAGTACTTTGCAACACGATTCTCAAGCATAGTTAGATAACTTAAATTAGCATATGGTTCTAAGATTGTTGTCAAATTTTCTTAAAAACTTTTAATGTACTCACATTTGTCTACAAAATTTTAGAAGAGTACTTCAAATTTAGTCTATAACATTCCTTTTGAAGATGATATTATCACTACCGCGCAACGCGCGATTAGAAAACTAGTGTACTATAAAATTAACACGTGGCTCAAATTACTGAATTTAAGACATGTAAAATCAACCAAGTACAAACAATGAAAACAAGAGAGACGTCTATGTATTTTGTTCATCTAGATAATGATTGATATATATACACACACATAGGAGTGATCAAATGCAAACCATTTTTTTTTTTTGGCAAACCCTACAAATTAATTTCATCTATTCATTTTCTTGATCAATAATTATAATTAAAATGTGCTATATTAGGAAAGTAAAAAATAAAATAAATGGTTTAATATTTAATCAAGAAATGGTAAAATTGACAAACCATTGTTCGTCTCATTTTTGGAAATTGATTTCATCTATAGAAACATTTTGGAAACTGTATCTTATTTTTTCGTTAGTGAAATTTGTTTCATTGTTCCGTCTGTATAATTAAATTTGAGTCGTATATGGTTCACTCAATGGAACATTTTCCAAAAATTTGAATAACATGTTTTCGTTAATGAAACTCGTTTCATCATTGAAATTGGTTTCATGGACTCTACAATCCAAAAACTGAATGATATTGTTTCAGAAGTGAAAATTGTTGAAATGTTTCATAACCAAAATGAAATCGGTTTCATGGTTTCTAATCAAGATAAACTCGGTTTTACATATGAAACTAAATATTGTTCAATCAATGAAACACTTCAAGAACTGAATAATAATATTTCATTCATTTTTTAAATTTGTTTCATGTTTTCTAACCAAAATGGAATCGGTTTCATGGTTTATAGTCAAGATGAAATTAATTTTATTAATGAAACCAAATATGGTTCAGTCAATGAAACATTTCAAGACCTGAATACTATTATGAATGTTGATATATGTATATTTGTTTATGTTAGAATTAGATTAAATTATGTATTAACTTAAAAAGTAAATTAAATTTGGATGTTACAAGACGGATCTATGATTTTCATCCAACTGATGCATCTTTAAACTGGATCAAAGGTTTGCAAAGTCATCTGATTTGTTTTTAACCGTGTTTCACTATTTCATGGGATTTTTTTACAGTAATTTAATTGATTTCGAAGGATTTTTAAGTTTTTTTTTGTTATTTCTGTAAGGCTCTTTGTTTTATGGTTGATTTTGAGATATTGGTTTTTTTTTTTTTTTGTTGATGTTCCTTATATTTTCTGATATTTCGGAGTGTCCTCAAAATTTAGCAGGTGCACATTTCATACCAAAAAAATTCTACCTACAAAACTAAGTTGAGTTGATGTACGGGACCTCAGTTGGGGCTTCATAGGTCGTCTGTATTGATGTGCATGAGGAAGAAATTCACAATTACGATATCATGGGTGCATTCAGAATGAAATTGAATTTCATTCTTTTTTTAAATATTGTTTGGTTTGTAGCATTTGGAATGAAATTTATTTGTTTGTTTTATAAATAATTTGTTAGTTTGGAGGTGATAAAGAGATTATATTGTATTTTATGCAAAGAGACAGGGTACATATATGAGGCATAAACAATTAAAATCCATGATGTTCGGATTTGAAATGATAACTATTTCTAAATGATTTTTAAACCCGTCGGTTATCAGATCAATTTCATTAAAATAGCAGAATTTCAAATCCAAACTTTATCTCAAACCAAACACAAGATTAAAATAGAATTCAATTTCAAACTCCATCTTGTAATTAAAGGTGAGGAGCAATCACCATATTTTATGATTTTGATGGTATTTACATGCACTTAATAAAGTTAAAGTATATCTTAGATAAAATACCAGAATATATTATAGCGTATGAAGGTTTATACTCTACAACGAATAATTCATGTAATGACATCATATATAAGATGCGTATGTTACAACTTGTTGACAAAATATATCGTCGACCAAATTATGTACAATCATTATCATACATATATAGAGAGAGAGAAACTAATTAATTATATATATATATATATATATATTGAGAACTGATGCATTATGTGTAATTTTCATCTAAGACTAAGATTTAAATTATTTATTAACATATGTTTGCTTCATAATGTGAAACTTTTTATGTGTACATGTTCATTAAAATGCTTGTGAAGAAATTTTAACGTGTGAAACAAGTATATATACATATATATATATAAACAAACACATTGTGAATGAAGTTTTAATATTAAACGGAGTTTAAAAAAGTACATATTCTAACGGGTATTACAATATTTAAGATTCTCTTTTCGATATTTTTAGTGAGACCCGACCCTATATGTCTCTGAATTGTCGATTGTGCAACATCTAACGTACACTACTGGGTTTCCAAAACCCTACACAATTGAACCATACATATATAATTAACTCCCACTTGAAAGCAATGTCCTTTCATGGTATATATCAATTTTACGTCAAATTAAGTAGATTTGTTTGCTCAATTTTGCTTCTAGCAAACCAGTTCCAACAATTTTGATTCTATTAGGGCAACATCGAACCCTAATCGAGCTTGAAAAGCCTGCACAAAGTATATATACTCATCATTACCCCATAGCTAGATTTGCATATCTAATATAAGATCATGATGAATATATAAATATATATATATATATATATATATATAATAGAATTAAGATGAAGATGAAGATGATATGGACCTTAGCATGAATGGTGCAGTAGGTTTGGTGACCAACAGTAGAGAAACTGGAGCTGGTGATTTCAGCACCACCTTGTTCTATAACACTCAAAATCTGGTAAGGTTCAACTTTCTTGTTATTGTTGTTTATGATCAAGTTGGCTTCCAGTTTAAAATCCATTTCCATCACTCGAACCACCTGCTGCTGCTGCTGCATGGTGTTTGATCTGTTGCTTCTGCTTCCAACCTCCTTTTCTAACTCTTCTTTCCTAACCTTCAATCCTTCCACCCTTTCTTTCCAGTTCACCAGTGAACTCGTTGCTCGATCCAAAAAATCCGGCAATGACATCCTCTCCTATACATATATATATATATATATAACATCCATCGGTAAACAATCATATATGTATGTATGTATATGTTTTACTAGAGATATGAATACAGAATGAAAGAGATCAGTGTAATACATAAGGTTGAAGATGAAGGAGAGATGCAAGAGTGGAGAAGAGGTCCTTCATCCTATCTCGGCGTTGCTTTTCTTTCGCCGCCGGTGGCCGGAGAGTAGAACATGAGCTTCTGCGAGCCATTCAGAAACTGGATTTGTGTTTGAATGAGTGAATAAGTTCTGCAGCATGTGTGGAGTGGTGGGTGGGTTTTATAAGCGGCCGGTTTCGGAGTCAAGCGGGGGTCTTCTCATAATAAATCCAATCAAAATTGAAGTCCTCATCGGATTATAGAGGCGAAGACAGAACCGAAATCTTGGACTCGTGTAGCTTCGTGGTGGTTGCTGACATTTGAAATTAGAGTTTGACTATTCACTTGATAAGACCTGTGCTCGGGTAAGCCTTATTACCTTACCGAATCAATATCGTAAGAATCAAAAATCTTATCCACTAATTGATGGCGACGACTTTTATCACGGTTTAACACTTACCGAGTAAATTATTACATACAACACCGTTTTGATAGACTAAAATATTACATGATAAGTAATTGATAGTATTGAATTTTACCGATAAACATTTATCTTGATAAACATTGGTAAATAGCCCCTCATATCTTCCATTCTTTTTTGATGACACGGGGATGATATCCCCACCCCTTACTCACTTCTCACCCTCTCCTCCTCGCATCTTTCACTCACTCACATACTCACCCTTTTTTAATTTTAATTTTAATTTTAATTTTATACTTTATACCTCTATAATTAGTTAATTAATTTATTTTATATCTTTTTTAAAAAAAAATCATTTTACACTTTTATCAAATTAACATACATAATCGTATATCAATTAAAACATATTTAAAAAATAAATTTTTATTTTAACAAGTTACATCATTATAATAATCTCATTAATATATTCGAAATGAGTCTAATATTGAATAGTTTTTGACTTAATATATATTATTATATATTATATATACTAT